TTCCCTGGCAGGCCTGGTTCACTGGGCTCTCTGTCTATACAGAATGGGCTTGGATGGATGGTCCTGAGGCCTGAGTGGGTGGTCCTCTCCCTCCAGTCTGATAGTGGCCAAAGCTGGGGCCAGAGTAGACCAGGCTCAGACTGAACTGGCATTTTCAGGGGCTGGAGGATGGGTGACCCTGGAGAGCTTAGGCCACTCTGACGGCCCGTGGCGGTGGGGGGGACACAAGGTGATTTTGGACCAGCTGATCTTCGGCTACTCACTCCTGCTCCCTTACTGTGTCCACACCCAGCTTCCCTGCTGGAGCCCAGCGATCTCCCAGGGCCCCATTTGTCTCTAGTTTGGGAAATGCTTCGGAATTCCATTCACTTATTCGGGGGCCACCTCTCCTGGAATATTCATACTTCTGAAAGTTTGGCCCAAAGACATGCATTTCTAAGGTGGAATTTCAGGACTCTGAGATGGGAAGGGATGTGCTGAGGGGATGGTCGGCCTCCCTTCATCAGTCGGTAGGTGGGCAAGAGGGGCTCAGACCACCTTTTTGTGGCCTGTCAGGAACAGTGGATCTGGACTGTAGTAAGGGTGAAAGGAGAGGCAGCCTGGTGTCTGTGCTATGGTCACAACCAGGCCTTGCACCCTGGGGGCCTAGGCTCCCTGAGCCGCAGCATCTTTCTGTGTGCAGATTAGATGCAAGTGCAGATTTGGGAAGTCATCAGCCCAGCCAGTGCACGCTAACTACCTTTCTGTGGTCCTGGGCAGCGCCCCCGCCCACCTGGCCTGCTCTGCTGCGCCTTTGTCTTCCTGCCTGGAAAAACCAATCTAGCAAAGGGAGCCTTGGCTTTGAACCCACAGGCTGTACACACAGGGAGGGCCTTGCTGGACCCTGCAGCCCAAGAAGGTGCCACTGGTGATGGGTCACGGCTGGCACATCATCCTGTCCTTCTGGTGTAAGGAATATTTCATTTGCCTCACCTGTCACTGATCATAAATGCCTCTTGAGCTACTTACTGCTCAATAAGCCCTAATTAAGGCAGTGGGGATGGGGAGCAGGAGGGACAATGTAGGGGGAAATCTGTGCCTGTGTGTGTGTGTGTGTGCACGTGTGTGTGCGCCTGTGTACACATGAGTGTGTGTGAGCTCAGGCTGGTGCTGTGAGGCAAGGCTGAGTGGGGGAGGGGCCGTGAGAAAGGAGAGGCTGCACTTGGGGTGGGAAGCTGGATGCTAACTGCTCCCTTT